CCCACCTTGTGAGGTCTTGGAGTTAAAAGCAACAGAAGATGTAAATAAGAAAACACACAATCAGAACGTGCAGCTTTTGGCTCCTTCAGGATATCAGAATCTGGATCTCCCTACTCGTCAGTCAGAGCTGATGAAGCCTCTTGGATGAGAGGTGGAACGTCTTCAACCAACTCAAGCAAGTCCAGCTGCTACGATTGATCTACCAGAACAACCATGACCTGGATGACTGAATGTTCACAGACAGCATTTCTATTGGTCGGTTCAACCAGGTCTGTCTAGTGGAAGAAGACGAGTTTAACTGTGACTCTTTGACACCGTTGTAGATGGAAATGTAAGCAAAGCAGAGATAAATAGAAACTTCTTGGACCAAGTTTTCTACACCTGCTGTGACTGAATCCTAACGCAGCAGCTGACTGACCCTTCACTGTTATTTAACAAAGACTTCTTAAACTCATTAAGCTGCACAGTAGCTTCTGCATAATGAGTAAAATCAATTGGAAACGTTGCATATTTTACTATTTGGCACAGCAGCAGCCTCCAAGTTGTCCATTAAACACGGAACCAATTAATCTGGACCCGTATTTGGTAAATTACAGGATGCTGTAATTCAAAAACCTAATGCCATTGGATGCTGAGAAAGAAGAAGAAAAGAAACGATGAAGTAGACGGATGGAATGAGATTGTTTAATAAAACTGAAGTCTGTGAGTTCAGTCAAGGTCAGTTAGAGTTTTTCCTCTGGGTTTCCTCAGTAGTGGAGCTCCATCCCAGTAACTCCGGCTGTGGCGTGTTTCATTCCAAAATGATTGTGCCTAACAAATCACTTACATCATGTCAAGTCCAATCTAGTGATGAGGAAGATGGTCGTGCTTGCGCCTGCCAAGTGGTTACATGGAGCTGGTGATTGCTCTCTGCTGTTTTATAGGCTGAGATGGTCATGTTGAGATAATAAATTATGGACATGATCAATGCAGCCTGGCTTCAGTTAGCCTGAGTGATGGACTGATGCGAGGCTGCTTTCCAGACACTCTTTGTGTTACTGGTCCAAGTCACATGCTGCATGGTAGAAAAGATTCATATTTGTGGTAGGAACTCTGACGTCCATGTGAACAGTAAAGCTGCATTAAAGATACGTATGAACAGGCGAAGGTCCATTTGTTCATAGTGGATCAAAACACTGGGTCCCTTATAGCCACATCAGTCAATTAAATCTATTGAAGTCATCGTCAAGAAACCAATTTCAGACGACTTTTCTCAGTGACATGGCCATAAACTGTATGTAAAGATGGATGAGAGTCAGTGGCTCTGGCCGTAGCCGTCTTGACAGCGCCTGACTTTAACTCCCGGCTGATCAGAAACGAGCAGCGAGGTGGAGCTGAGGTGGAGCTGAGGTGGAGCTGAGGTGGAGCTGAGGTGGGCCGTGGACTGTCCTGTGACGACACCCGGCTCACTCACTGAAAAAATAAGCCTGTGGTTGTCTTTTAATCAGGTTTTTATAATTTTACCCCGTTGTTTTCTAGTTTCAACAACTCCCAAGACGTGACGTAGCTCCGTCCAGACTCCTTCTGCTGGTAAATCTTTACAATCTGTAGCCATAGAAAAAGGTTTTTTTAGGTTTTTAAAGTGTGTCAATGGTATAACATGATGATATATTTAAAAGCTAACCCTCGCTCCATATGTACAGTGTTGTTGTTGTGTCATTACGTTGGGCTGCATGCCTTCTGTTCCTCTCTGTGTTTCTGTCTCTACTGCAGAGCTTCCCTCCCTCGCTCATCTCACATAAAACGTGGTCAAAATAAAGCAAACAGTTGGCTGTTAGTGGCTGAAACAGAACACACTGGGATGTTTCTGCAGACAGAGCTGAACTCCACAGAGAGAGTCATCCTGATATGTGGACTGGGACCAACCGCAACAGAATTAGAAAGTTATGGAAATTGAGTTATCTCTCGATGACCTATAAATAACTGCAGCACAGTTGTGAGATAGTATGACAATCGTATTATGCTTCGTCCGGGCGGTTCTCTCTCCACAATCTGTCTCCCAACCACCTTACTCTCTCCTCGTTCCCCCGTTCCTCTCTCATCTCGTCCCACTCTCCGCTGGGTGAGTGTGTTTTGTTAGGGAGGGCTGATTCTTCATACTTGGCTGAGGCTTTATGGACAATAAAGATCTGATTTCAAAGTCCGGCAGGGTGTTGGGCCTGGGGTCTTGGCTCAGCTTTAGTTGCCTGCTGGGAGGAGATACTGCACAGCCCCTAACCAGATGGCCATCAGCCCACATACAGTAGATTCATATTGTACATGATGTGTATTGTTGAA